GGGGGGGGGGGGCAACGGGCTTTTTGGTGTTGGTTTTGGATTTGGTTTTGGATTTGGGTTTGGATTTTGGCTGTCCGCGGATTGTCTTTCGTCTTTTAGTTGCGTATTGGCTTTGCTTTTTACTGCTGTAGTACTGCGCATTGCTACCTGGCCGGTCTGCCTTCTTTCATTGCCCTTGATTTTTGGCTACCATGATCTGATGCAGCGCGCCTTGTTTGCCGTTTTTCCTGGCAGCAACGCGCACTGTGTTTAAGTTGTGTTTTTCTGCAGCACGCCTTGTTTTTCGCACCTTCTGGCGGCAACGCGTCCTGTCTTTATATTGTTTGCTGCCGTAGCGAACCCGGTCGCACCCAAATTCATGGGGGGGGGGAAGTTATGTGTGACCATTGTGGATGCGCCTTTCAGCAGCCGGTTTTTTCTTGTATTTTGGGTGAATACGCAATAGGGGGGCTGTTCGGTTGTACTTCTTCGGGTCTAGCAACACCAGGTGTCGAAGTCCCCTACGGGCATAGCGTACTTCTGTACTTCCCTAAAAATGCCCCCGAAAGCCGCCGTTCTTGGAAGGCGTTCCGCCCCTCTGGTGCTCTCCCAAGTTTGATACCACCAACGGCAACCACACCAACACCCCGATCGATGTTGCGCTGGTGCTTCAGACGGAAGTCACAGGAGACACATATGTTTGGCGCTGTGTATGCCGCTAGTATGATGGTGTGCTCGTCGTGTGCTGTTGTATGTCGGGCATGTTGGTTGCGTGTGGTGTGTGAATGAGAGAGAGAGAGCGAGCAAACTACGTGTGTATATTTTCGTAAATCGAAGTCCAAACGCAAAAAAAACGCAGCGGCAGCAGCAGCAGCGGCGGCGGCAGCAGTAACAGCCCTTTTGGAAACAGAAAGCATAGCGGTATCCCCTCTCTCTGCTGCTGCTGCACCAGTCTCTACCTGGACATTTCGACTGCACACAGAACTCCCCGATGTGCCGACTAGCCCGGGTCCGCAGAAAAACGAGCGTCTGTCCGAGTCACAACGATCATTCTCTATGCTCACCAAAACCCCCCTGGAGTCCCAGATTAAATTGATTACGCTAGGTACGAGAAGTCAAACGCATTTGCCGTGACGAGGGAAAGACCGCGGCGTGGTCATCACCCTTTCTTTCCACAAGAGGCACCATTCTACGCGTACAATAGGCGGGTTCCGCGCTTGAGATGAATGTTTTTCACGATTTTTTCATAGAGGGGAACGTAATGCGTTCTAAGGTCTGAAAATTTGCACACACGCCTGGTAGGTCACGCGGATCACGAAAATATACTTTTTGTTTCGGTTGGTGATCGTGGTGGTGAGTTATTAACGATTAAGAGGGGAACATGGCCCGAAAATACCATCCGCGGGCCCCCCGATGAAAATTCAAACCCCCCCGAATCGATTGAAAATTTCAGGGGACATGGATGTAACAATTGCGATCACATATCCGAAGTTAGAAATCGAGAAAATACAGTTCTACGCTACTTATGCCCCTTCAAAGTATATGCCAGAAATCGGGGAAAACTTGGATTATACCAGGATTACAGTGAAATATCCCCTCCCGTGACCTGCGTTCCACATGTTGATTTAAGCACTGCAGGCGTCTACTTCGAGCAATTTTGGGTCGGGGGTCACGAATATGTCATCCAAAAACCCTAATTCGGCAGTCCAATCTACTCATAAGTTGCATATATGCTGGGTTTCGTGAGCAGTTTCGAGATTTCCGAGAAGTTTGAAGTTCGGATCCGGGCACGAGTTTTTGTCTGATCAACTTTCTGAGTGGCTCTACCCCTCCTTAGACCGGCCAAGCGGAAGCGATTGCCGAGGTGTGCAAAATAAAAAAAGATCGGGAACGCGACGAAACAAAATGTTCGAGCCGAAGTTTTTTTTTTATTGCACACTTTTTTAGACAAACTTTCAGACCGCCCTGCGAGGTCAATTTTTTAATCTTTTTTTTTTTAGCCGCAGAGACGATTCATCGTTAGCGCGGAAGCCGCCAATACCAAGTGAGCACGGATCACGAGACACGGTTAGGCAGGGCGCATGATCAAGCGACCTCGAGCGGGTTTGCAGCTTGCGCACCATCTAGCTTTTGCCAAACTCGTCATCGCTTCGGGTGCCGTCGACCACAACGTTGGAGGGTCAATACGCTCTCACCTTTTCAGTTTGCAGGAGCGTGATCACAGACGATGTGGGAATGGACTCAACGTTAGCTCTTGGAACCACTGCCCTCTTCGCTTCGCTTCACTTAGTAGGGGTGCACGGCGGCGAGGGTGCTTCCTCTTGTCAAGCGTTCAACAACCCTCTCCAGAAAGGGGGTGCGTGGATTGTTTGTTGACAACATAGAGACCCCCGGTATTTTGATTTCCTTCTTGCCGTTGCCGCCGACTGGACGCTGGCACCTGGTTCTTGAAACTTGATGCATCTTGTCTCTATATGTTGTGTGCTGTGAATGCTGTGAATTCAACTCGAGGGACCTCGGTGTGTGCAGTCAGAAGCGCCCAACCCGGCTTGCAACCGCACACCGACAGAGAATGTCTGGAAACACATACAGCGACGTTGAGAGACGTAACATAAGTACCGAGAGAGGAAACCACATCCAGAGCACCGAAAACTTTCGGCGGCTGACGCCGCCACGCTCAATGGATCCCAAGCTGATGCGTAGGGTCGTTGCTGTTCCATTTTCGAGCGGGTTTGTGTCGTGTGTGACTTGTCCTGTCTGTCATGCCGCCGCTACTATCACTGTCTTTGATGAGGCATTGTGTGAGGAGACCATAACCGGAAAAGAACACCCGGAAATTACTGCGTAGCGCGAAACGAGCGGTACGCCAA